TCACGTGATCGCGACTTCCGACCTTCCCTGCTGGCTCCCCACTGACTTTGCTTGTCGGAAACTGGCTGGGAAGGTCACAAATGGTGATCATGTGACTGCAGGATGCTGCAATTGTCGTAAATGCACAACAGTTGCCAAGTGCCAGAATCATAATCACATGACCATGGGGATGCTGCAATAGTCATAAGAGCAAGGACCAATTGTAAGTCACTTTTTTCAATGCCGTCGTAACTTTGAACAGTTGCTAAACAAATGGTCATAAGTTGAGAACTACCTGTATTCCCCAAAATTTGTGTAGGCCTTCCAGAGATTCTTTAGAATTGGGGAAATGAGAAAGAAATTTGAGTCCCATACCTTCTACTTATTGACGCATAGATCAAACATCCTAGTAACTACTCCAAGTATTTTCACATAAATACTATAAGGCATGTCATCTCAAAAACTGATGGCCATATTTATTTACACAGGCCTTTTGCCAGGCTGATATAAAACAGACTGTCTTAGATATGCAGGTATACCCTGGGGTTCCTTTTCTCCCTCTCACATTTCTTAGCTAATCACTTCTTGTCAACTACAGAAAAGAGGCTTATGTAATTATTTACCACTGAGAGAATGCTAAACAGGAAATTTAGCATAGCATAGTCATGCTTTATGCACTCATTTTAAGGGCTCTCAGCATGACACTGTCATTGAATCACTGTCTCATTTATGTTCCTATGATGCTTTTATCTTTCTTTAAATGGCAGTACTTCAAGTGTAAGAAAAAGTCATAAAAATTTCTCAAACATACCTTGAGAAATATACTACTTGTATTTTTATAAATCACACATTCCTGAAAGTGGTAGAAAAATGTAAGAAACTGAAATGCCTTTAACAAATTGGCTGACAGTGTTAGAAATTATTTTATATACGTAGTAACTCTTGAATGCTGTTTAATAGTATAACCTGATTATTGTTTTCATAATTATATAATATTGACATATGTTGTGGCTCATCCCCCCCACAACTGGCCCCGAACCTGCTCCCTTTCCATAAGACCTTGAAGACGGGATTTTGCCATTGGGAGTAGGGACCCAGGAGCATGGTAGAGCCTTGTACTGGCTGTGTTGATTGTTGTTGATGAGTGTTATATCTTGGCTGTGGATTCCGTTGTATAGTTTTTATATGGTTTTATATTGTTTTTGTACTGTATTTTTTTCTTTTTTTATATTGTTTTTTAATTGCTGTGAGTTGCCCAGAGTCATATATTTGTGATGGGCAGCTATATAAATTATGAGATAATGAATTAAATAAATATTCAGCATATTTTAAAGGTTGGGATAGACTGTACTTATTTCTCTCACCTGCTGATTTTTCTTCTGACTTGAGAGTATCAATTGCTTTGTGATGAACTTCAGCAGTGCTGTCTTGTACTCTTTGTTCAGCAGTTTTGCCACTAGTTAGCTTTGCCCCATCTATCTCTGAGGATTTCTGAGATAACTGTAGCTGACTGGTAAACTTCTCATGCTGAAGATTATACAAAATCCAACCAGACAAAGCAAGAAAATATTAGGACCTTCAAAAACATGTTGTTTAATACACAGTCACAAAATGGATTAATATCTGACTCTAACCTAATATATAAATTCATTTATCAGATCATCCATTTTAAGTAAACATGTTTAAGTACAAACTTTCATATGTTCATCAAAAGTTACAAACTGGCACTTCCATCTGGGAGCCATATGTAAAATGGTTATGATTTAAGCAATTCAAATAAAGCTTTAGTAGGCAGTAAACTTTGCTAATTCAAAGCAGCAGCAGTAGTAGCTCTCACAGATGGGGGCTGCCACTTAATGGGATTTGATCTTTACAATGCTAGAAAGAAAATGCATATACATTTAGCTTTTTACCTTAAGTGCTTCTTCAGGCACTCTCATCTCTCCTCTGACTACAGTAAAAAGATTGGTATGTAGGACATGATAAGGAAACTAGTGAAACTTCAAATTATTTTTGAACACTACAGGTTTTTGAGACACTAATTGTTTATAGTTTCAGTATATAAGGAAAATGGGCAGGCTTGTCCTTGAGAACCGCATATAGCCATGGACACTGGGTTTGGGGCAGCATGCCCGGTCCAGCATCTCCTTCAGACCCTCTCTCATTCACATAGCCTTTGCCCTGCCCCGTCCCCTTTAACTTCATATGCATACAATCCCCACCTCTGCTTTCCATATATTGCAATTGGATATTATAGTCCTCTTCCAGCTGCTTATATTAAACAATTAAAATATCACATCTGAAAGGGATATGCACAATTATGATAGAAGAGAAAAATACAAATATACAAGCAAAACACTTCCGTATATGAAAAACCTTCATTATAAAACATATATTAAAAAGGTGTGAGGAGGGAGGACATAAGTGATAATCACTATTATGTGCTAATCAGTTTGGTGGGAAAGATTCATACTCTTTGGCATTCCAGGGAGGGGACAGTTTACATGGGACAAGATATGGCATTGTCCAAGGGTAGGAAAAGGGACAGGAATTTTCCAGACACAAACTGTTCTTCTCCAAATTACAATTATGCTTATTGTTACAGTACTTTTCAAGTAAAATGTTAGGTTGATCTCGTTATATACACTGGCCTTAGCTTTATATCTATATATGCACATTTCTATACAATTTTCTATAGTTTCTTAACTGTCTCCCTCTCTCCCTCCCTCTCTGATTCACACAGATGTTCCTTACCACTAGTTTGATATACGCACTCTGTTAGATAGCTAGTTTTACTACTTTCACTTCTGTGCTTGCTTTTAGCACTGAGAGGAGGGGGGAAAGAGAAACAAAAACTGTTTCTTGGATTTCCAGCGCAGTGGTCAAACCTTCCTTGTTGACTCCTGGTCTGTCCTTTCCAAATACAGCCCCAGTCTTTATCAAAGCCAGTCTACTCTGCAGATCTCCCATTCCAATCCTGCTAGTTCCTGCTGGGTCCTCAGTGACAGATTCCTCCTTCCTCCAGGAATCCTATCTCCAACTGTTTCTTGATACATATAGCACCTCTGGGCCACACAGCACAAATACAACACTGTCCATCAATTTCCCTTCTTGCTTATCAGGTCTGCCCCTTATATATTTTTTTCAAAAGGCAGACAATCTGCCCACAGGTGCCTTAATTAGGCAAAAAGTTTCTCCACATCTATGTGAGATCTTTGCACAGTTTTGGCAAACAGACAGAAATCCCTAACCTTGGTACCACATGATCATTAGGACACCTCATTCTGCCACAGGGATGTAAAGGGTAATTCTTAAGTTCTTTCCCTGCCCTCCTTAAGTTCTCTGACCTGCCACACCATGAAAGAAGATAAAATTGCTAGGGAAACATGAAGCCATCACTGACCACAGTAAACTTGCCTGTCTGTATTTTAGACAATGCAGCAACATCATTTAGTAAAACAGTGTGATACCATATTACAATTCTTCTAATGTATTTGTGCTAACGTTTCTTTTTTCACTTCAAGTGTGATGCCTATTTGTTTAGCATTAACAAAATATGTGTTATTAAACAGAATGAATGAATGTAGATCAACAATGCAACAATTCAACACAAAAGCATTCTGTCATGTTAAGTACTTGTCTTATTTTGACATATCAAAAACAATTCATATTTTTAAACATACAAGTAACCTTGCTGATAGCAGTATGATGGCTTAACTATGGTTCATTAATTCAGAAAATCATGACAATTGATTTGCAATCTAGCTCAAAACAATGGCTTCCCATTTGGTTTAAGCAAATTGAATGATATGCTATGATTAGTCAATTTAGACATAATGCCAAAACATAACTGAAATATAAGCCACATGTGTGCTTACTATGCTTTTGATATAATATATATAAAAGAACTTGATGGAAGTATAGGTGTTTAATCCAATGTGATAGCAGCAACAAGAAATGTCAAACTTAGACTCAAATAAACTTCATGAACTCATTAGTTTCCTCAAAATTTCTAGTTTGATTTCAATTAAACTGAGCAAGTGAAGCCAGCTTCTCCATTTCCAGTTTTCAAACAAATTCCTAGATAACTCCCATTCTCAGTGTGTAGTACTTTCACCTTCTGAGAAGCAAAGCTAGGTAAGGTTTTAAAAAATGTAACATTTCTGATATCTTTTTATTCTATTCCCTTCTACAATGATAAAATTCAATTTGAGAATCCATAAACTTACTGTTTTGTATTTCTCTATTATCATTTTAACAACATGTACTCAGAACAAGTTACAAAACTAAAATGAAATAAAATCCTACAGATGATCAAAATACGTTTTTCTATTATGTTAAGGATATCATATCCAAATCTCAATTTATCATCAAGCTTTAGGATGATGTATGTCTGTTCTGGAATCCGCACATCATTCACAAATGTCTGGAGAAAAAAGAAAGTAAGAATGTGGCTGCTGGGATAAAATTGGGAAAAAGAGAAGCACACAGCCTACACTGAGTTCTTGGAGAAAGGCAGGATATAAATCTAATAGACATTTTCTTAATTTTGGTTACAAAGTCATATCTCAGCATATGATTACCCAATTATTTATAAGAATGTTGAATAAAACATCAAGAAAAATATATGAAACTATACATACATGAATTCATATATACTCATCACTCTATTTCTTTTTAGGGTAAGCAATATTATGCAAAGTGTGGAAGAAGATTAAGAAACAGCCCCCAAAAAATGAAAGCATGAGATAAGAATACAAAAAGGAAATATAGTTAAATCTAAATTGTACCAATAACATTCACTATACCTCTCTATACTTGCAAACTATTCTTGCTTTCACCAAGTTCATGCACCACTTCATAACTACGGTTAGGATTGCAATACATCTCAGTGTATCTCAGAATCAGCACATCTGAAGAAAACCCAATTATTTTCAGTAATAAATACCTCACTCTATTTATTTATTTATTTATTTATATTTCTTTATTTACAACATTTAAAGTAGTAACAGTGAATATTCTATCAGCATGAGCTTGGTAAGAAACTGTAAACGTTTAAATCATAGAACTTTGTTATTAAAGCAAAAATGTTATGAACACTTTAATTTCAATCTATTACGCTCTGGCTCATGTGGTGTGTTAACTATAGGATGCTTTTCTTTTCTAAACCTGCATTCTATATTATCCCTGGATATATTTTAAACTGTTATTACTGAGTGGCAGAAGAAGCTTTCACTGAAAGCTCCAGTGCAAAGCAAAGAGTAATCATGTAATTTGTTAGTGATGGCCTCTATTTTACATTATGCAAGTAGACATCTGCTCACACAGCAGGGCTTCCACTTATTTTCCATTTCATTATTCACCCCAGTTCTGCTTTGCAATGGAAGCTGGGGTTGGGAGAAGAGAGTGGAAATTCATTCTAAGTAGTCTTATACTGGGGCCCAAAGTGTTAACTTGATTAGTGTGTATTAATGTGTACCAAAAATATTAACACGGTCTACATTTTTCCTAGTATTTGACTATAGCCTCAGTTTTCAAATTATTTGTAAGTTTAAGCTGTTAGCAGCTGGTACTGGCTACCAATTTATATGGTATACATATAACCAACATATATATGAAACTTCATCTTCAAAACACACTTCAAATTCCCCTCAAATAGCCTCAAAACCTGGAAATCACCTCAACTATGGTAATTCTCAGAATGCAAAAGGAAAAAGCCATGTTTACATATACTGTACCTACATAACAATTTCATTGATTGATTGATTGTGCTTTCAAGTCAGTGTTGACACGTGGCAACTGCCTGGACAGTGTTGACTCCCGGCAACTGCAGTTTTCTTGGCAAGGTTTTTCGGAAGTGGTTTGCCATTGTCTCCCTCCCACGGCTGAGAGAGATTGATTGGCCCAAGGTCACCCAGCTGGCTTCATGCCTAAAGTAGGACTAGAACTCACAATCTCCCAGTTTCTAGCCTGGTGTCTCCACCACTACACCAAACTGGCTGTCACATAACAAATATACAGCTAAAAATAGTTGTTTTGAGCCATCTAGATTGTATGAAAACAGAATAAACTTACCCCATTTAGACTGCCTAAATCTTTCACCAAGTGTTCATCAGTGGAGGCATCATAGTTGATAACAGCATGTTGCTTATCCACACTACGTGACTGAAATATTTAGAAGACACAACTTTTATATCAATTTATACATCTGAAGTAGTGAAAAGTTAATAAATCTTAATCATTTCAGAAACATTAGCTAGTTTAAAGGGTATTATTGTATAACTACAACATACATGATATTATCATTATGAAGAGCTGTTAAAGTGAAAGAAGCCTGGTATTTATGTTAAAAAGAAGTGCAAATGGAATTGTTCAATTAAAACTGACATGTTCGTCTGCTTTAGCACTTGAGATTTTTGCATAATGCAAGGAGAGATTGGGTGACTATCGGGAAGCCCAGTAAAAATGAATGGCCAGATCTAGGTGGGAGAATGATACTTACAGCTAGCTGCAATGTCACTCTCTCTCTCTCTCTCTTTTATATGTACTGTATATTTTCCTTAGAAGTTTAGATTAGTTATTCAAGAAAATTGCCAGAGGATAGCACTCCTTAAATAGTGATCACTAGAGATTACCATGAAAAGGCTAACATGAGCTCCCTTCTTCTGTTCTCCAGACTATGTTGATATAGGAAAATAATATAAATAAAGGTATTATGTAATCAACTATTAATAAAAGCTAGGAACAGTAAACATAAAATTCTGTTGGTGGAGAACAATACATACACAATGTTTGCACTGCAGGTGATTGATTCCAAACAGTAATGTAAGAATTAATTCACTAGATGCAGCAAGAGGAACAAACTTTTTAAAAAATGACTTCATATTAATTAATGAAACATGTTGAAGTAGCATCAGTTATATATATATATACAATGTTTTGGAAAATTTAGATTTCTTTATGAAAGAAATGAGTGGACTAGTACAGCCAACAAAAAGTAAAGAAAAATTTTATGAGTTCTGCCATTATATTGTTGTAGGCTGACAAATCCCAATTGTTTGGGATCCCTTATTTGGATGTCACAATAAATCAGGGATAAGTAATCAGGAGTCCTCTAGATTTTTTGAATGAAATTTACATATTATTCTTTTGCAATGGTCATGGCTTGGATTGATGTGAGTTGAATCCCAAAACATCAGGCTGTTTACCCCTGTGATCCTTTTTCATTAGTTTTGCTTACTCATGCACAATTGTACTGCACAGTCAGGGACATGCACACACAGAGACTGTACATTCAAAAACTCATAATTTCTATTTTGAACATTCTCTACTAAATTGGTACTGTTTATACACAGAGGTTAATAGGTACTAACTGATTTGAAAAATGGACCTTATTTGCAATATCTGAGAAAAGATCATTTACCACTAAACTGTTTAACTCTAGGTAACCAACTGAAGAGACTACTCTGTACTAACCAGGTCTACCCTCTCTACCTTTCTGAGATGTATTTATCAGTGCACTTGGTGAATGAGTGCAGAGTGAATATGTGGAAGTAATGAGTATCTCTCAAGAATTTAGAGAAAAACAGAAAATAATGTTCATACTACACAAATCTAAAGTAGCAAATTGTATAAATTTAAAACTACTTTACTCATGACAGGAGTTGGAAAAAAAAAATTGCTGGACACAATGCTTGGCTGTCACAGTTCAAATCAGGACACATTCCCCTTTTCAAAATTTGTTAAGACTTCCAGATTTCTTCAAATCTCTCTTTCCTTCTCTTTTATCTATTTAATCCATTTATCAGTGCCCGTCCACTTTTCTTGATGACCTTTCCTCTTTTCTGCCCCATCTCCCTCCATTATAATATAACCTTTCATATAAATCTGGGTTTCAAGTCTTGGATCTCACCAGTAACTTATTTGCTTGCAGCTATGACTTGTGATCTTGGGTCATGGCTCATCAATCCCAATTTTATGGAAACTAATCTATTTCTGTATTGTAGTAATGGCAATGGCCCCAAATGGGATAAAAATATACACACTGGACTACAAAAAAAACTTGGGTATCTTATCAAAATATAATAGGGAGAAATAATTTCTTAACTAGGAAGGTCAGAGAGTTCATGAGTTACCAAACTTGCTTGTTACCTCTTATCAGACTTAGCTGGTTAGACTGCACAGTCCTTTGTATGATCACCAGACTATGCATGCAAATCATATTATGCTCCCAATTTGTTACCAAATTGCCTAGCCCAATTTTAAGCTTTCCAATCTAGACTGATATCTAGAATTTTACAGCTAATTTTTTACAGTAGCATTGTATACTTAATTGTCAACATGAGTTCTAGTTCCAAGGTTTTCCAAAGCCAGTTATAGCATGATAAAGCTACTTCGTACAGCACTACAACTTTCTCAATTTGGTGCTAGAACAAACTTGGTTATTCTTGTGGAATCTGCCACTGTGTAATGTGACTTTTTAGAGCACAGCACTTCATTTATTAATACTGAAAAAGTATTTTAGCATTTAATATTTTTTCTAACTTTTTCAATTCTATTTCAGATATTTTGGGAAAAAACATGAAACGAGGGAACAAAAGGATTGAAAAGCTTCTGCTGTGTGGGTTGTAGAAGAATATATAGAGGCTAAAAAGGGAAAAGTAAACTACTTAACAGTTCAAAATATACTCTTCAGAAAGCAGTATGCATTTAGTATATTACATCCAAGCCTTCGACATTTACTGCCTGGAGAACAGATAGAATTACCTGCAACATTAGCTCACAATCATCTCGTCCAACAAAAATCATCTCTCGTGGCAGTCTATGACGGGTGCCTCCACTGCTCACCAAAAACCAAGATGTTACACTCATTTTCTGCTTAGCTTATAAATCCTCACAAGGCTACGTCATCCTGCAGGGAAAGGGGAAAAAAAAATTCAGTTAACCTTATATTCTAGTTCCTAATGGGAAATTGTTTTTAAGCTATTGGGAATCTCTGTGCTTTCCAGTCCCAGAAATTTTTATCAGAAAAGTTTATTCTACAGACATTATTTTTTATACACAAATGCATCATTATGTTTCCTATATATCACATACTGGGTATCTACTGTTTTAGTCACTGCTTCCAATGCACAAAATAATCTTAAAACACAATTGCTTGAGTGAATGGAATAATGAATAACAGTTATTTTGCCCTACATCCAAATTGCAAACATGATGCCATCCTAAGAACTTTCATAAAAAGAATGTTTCAAGAGGCATTCCATTTGAGAACAGATCACAACTGATTGTACATTTTCGGTGCCTACAACATAAGAGAGAGGCCTGCTCTGCTTTTTCACACAAAGGTATCTTATAGGTAGGGCTAGTCTTTTGTGTGCCTTGTGCTCCTGAGACATGGTTCATGGATGATTCCTTTAGAAATGGAATGTGTATTAAATAAATAATAATTTATTTTAAAACTATCTAAATTTGCTAGTATTAACAGAATTTATGTTCACAAAATTACCAAGATCATTGCATCATCATCACCATCATCCTTCATTGTTTACCATCTTGATTTGAAATTATTTTAATGCTGTTTACCATATATGTTTGAACTGGCTTATCAGAGTACTGTAAACCACCATGATTTAAATCTAAAAGAAATTAGAACTATATATGTCTTTGCATACAAATACATATTTTCATAGCATGAAAATCTATCATGCTATTCACTATTAGGATAAATAACATTATGCAAAGTGCCAAAATGAGTCAGAAGTAGTAAGCCAAAATTTTTTAAATGGGGATAAAAAGAAAAAGGAAAAGGAAGTACAGCCAAATCTATTTATACCAATACGTTACCCACTATAAACCTCCATGCATACCTAACCATGTATTTATAGAGAGTTCTGAGCAGCCTATGCCTGGACTGAAATGTGTGTTTTGCCCAAGCAGCAACACAGATCCACTTTGTTTCAGTTCAGACTCAGCCCCAGGACGTGTGTGTTGTAAGCAGCAGCATGGTGATATGTAGCAATGCATGCTAAGAAGAGGTAAAAGAAAGGAAGATGAGAAAGGATGGAAGGAGTGGGTGGGTGGATTTTATATGCATGGCAGTGGAGGCAGCAGCAGTGGATAGTTAACAGGAAGTAAGGAAAAGGAAGGTGCAGGAAGATCATGGATATGGTTGGACAGGCCAAATGACAGGCCAACAAGGAATACATTGGCAGAAACAGGAGGCAATGGAACCATGGGGATAAGGAGAGGTAAAGAAAAGGCAAGGACTGAAAGATGAGGGAGGGACAGCCAGTCAGGAACAGGAAGATCAGTGGAGTGGTGGATATACAAGCCATGTATGGATGGAGGAAAGGACCTCCAGTTTTGCCCTACCCACTCTGTAAGACCCTCTTTGTCTCAGCCAAAACAACCAAGCTTTCTGGGTTTCAGTTTGGCTGGCCTGGCCAAACCCCCAAGCCATGTTTCTTTTGTGCATGGAACAGAACATGTTTTCCATTTCATTAAAGCATTAAGTTATAAAATGCAGTGTTCTTTGCATTTGAGGGCTTGTACTTAAGACAGATAATTTTGAAAAATCCAATTTTACTAAAACTTACACGTCAGCTTGAATGCAGTGAAGAGTTAGTAGTGCCAGTAGTATTTGTTGCTTACTTTCTTAACTGTGAAATTCACTTGCTACCTCAGGCAAGCGAAAGACATCTGGGTTGTCTATCAAAATGTTCCCACAAAAGGAAGCTGAAATCATGGTGTTTTTCTCCAATCAGCTAGCATTCCATTCAAATTTCTGATAAAAATCTGAATGTGTTTTTTCCCTTTTGATCAGTCATTATATGAGGTATCTGTTCAAGCCTAATTCTACTGTCTCATTCAAACTATGTGCTGAATTTAATTATTTAGAATAAGTTTAATCATAGGTTGTTAAACTGTCTATTGCTTGACATTTTCACAGCTCTCTAAAGCATATTTCAAACTCTGACAACATTCTGTAAATACTTTGACAACACTTTAAATGCATTGATAATTCAATTGAAAAACCAGTTTTTAATTTTAATTTATTTTAGATCATGGTTTTCTGTCTCACAGAAAAGTATCAGGCTCAAAAAATTCTTCCTTCTACTTCCAATTTTAAAGAAACCATAATTTCTTAGTATGTTTGAAATGTGATCAGCAAAAAGACTTTATAATTTCCCCATCATATTTTTTGTTCTGACTTCCTTTTAATAACTGGGTTGTACAAATTCTTCAAAGCATCTCTTTTATAATTGTTAAAGCAGTTGTATCTTTTTCCAGTCTTACTATTTCTGAAACTTCTTCTGAATATTGTCATGTGCAGAAGCAGCTTTTCCATCTGTTCAATAAGCTAACATCTAATTAAATTTTATGAATGAACAAATAAAGAAATTGCTAAATGAAGCAAACTATACTGTGTGTAAGTGTGTGTCTATATCTATAGATTCTTATACTAAACACAGTATTAAGTGGGGGAGGAAGGGAAGAGAGGAGAAATGACGGAAAAATCAAACTTTGTGGGGGATGAGAGCTGTAATTTCTCAGGATAGAAATGTCAGAAGCATCGCCTAGCTTCAAGGCCAAGAAGTACACGGCAAAATTTCCATTAAACTATAGATGGGAGAAAGTGCCTAAATTAAACTACAATGTGTATAAAAATGGAATTGCACCTTCATGTTGACAGAAGGGAATCATCTGAATGTAGAGTAAATGAGAGAGACTTAATTGACCAGTTCATGGAGGGACTGTCTGATGAAATACAAGATGAGTACACAATGACTGCACTAATCAAGCCTGCTTGGGCATTGATGGAAAACTAGAGGAACTGGGAGCAAGTATGGGTGACAGGGCAAGTTACCACTAAACTCCTTCATTTCCTCCTCCTCCTACCTCCATGCACACCCCAGAGATATCTGAAGCTGAATCTATGCAGCTGGGAGCCAGAAGGATGCCATTTATTGTTTTTAATGTTCTTAATGATTTTCGTGGGGTTTTGTTGTGGTTGTCTTTGTATTGGTTTTTTGGTTTTTAGCTCTGTAAGCTGCCCACAGTTGCAGCTGTGAGATGGGTGGCTTCTAAGTTCTACACTTACGGCTTATAACACTGAACTTCCACAACCCACCACTGGAAATCATTAGGAGTGCCTACAACTTTATTTAGATCCCCCTAAAAGAGATAGACAGTTGAGAAACTGTAAGCTTTAGCCAAAGAACATCACTCAGCTATTATTTTGTTTATTTTAACACACACACACCCCAAGTTTGGTCAGGTTTTTGGAGGTTTATAGCACAGAAAAAGTAAGACTATAAGCTACAGAGACTGAGGGGGGAGGGGAAGCACCAATTACTCCTGTTGCTCTGACCCTGAAACAGGGAGTTAGAGTAATGGAGAGAAAATCTCTATTACACTAAGTCAGGAAGTGGGGTGGTGGTGGTTCTGATCGTTGCGGACACATAGAAGGGATGGGGTAGAGAATGAAGAGGAGGATAGTGTAGGAGTTGAAAATGTAAGTTTCTCAAGGTACAGATGTCAGCTGTGTCAACAACCAACAGTCATTTGGCTTCAAGGCCAAGTGCAGGGCAAGAAGTCTATTAAATTATGGAAAGAGTGGAAGAAGGAAGCACTGGAATTGAACTATAGTGATTATAAGAATGCAATTGCACCTTCAGTTGATAGAAAATTCTTATCTAGCAAGGCAGGGTTGTCTGTCTGAGAGCTTTAAATGAAATATGAGCTTGGAGCCTAGTCAAGCCATGCTGAGTCAAATGTCTGGAAATTCTGCCAAGGACTTGCCAATGAACTGGCAGATTTCCCCTTTTCAGGGAGGCATACATTGAATTTCTCTTTGCTGCTGGACAAAAACAAACTCTTACCCATGAGAAGGAAGAAATATAAATCTTATAGCAGTAAAAAGATCCCTTGAAAAGTATAAACTCAAATATATTGAGAAAGAATGTGTTAAGATTACTTAAAAAAAATCTTCACAAATAACTGGGTCAAAATTAATAAATCAGAGTATTGAACACATAATAACTGACAGGGAGCACAGGAAGGGAAAATAACTGAAAATGAGCTGTATATTTATTGTACCTAGATCACAGCTGCTTTAAGTTGCATCCCCCCAGATAAAAGGCTGGAACTAGCAACTTTACTGCTATTGCTGGGGGAAACAACTGGCAGAATTATGACAGATTTGTAACATAGATACGCATTTTAAATTCCTCCTATGATGCAAAAGCTGTCTGAACTAGAAAAGCATGTATGAAGTCCAATCTGTATTTACTTGGAAGTACGTACCGTGAGTTTAATAGCACCTACAGCCAACTTTTGTCATCAGTAACGTTTGGCTAAATTGCACCTTTAAAATTTAGCAAAAAGAAAATTGGCTCTTATTCTCTGAGAACCAGTATTAGAAGAAAAATACAATTTCAACTCAATTTAAATATTAAACACTTAACACTTACATACTCTGAAAAAAAGTGCGATGAAATTCAATATTCTGTGAGAGCACAGCATTGACACCTTACAAATCTAGGACTTCTGAGCTCTACCATAAGGCCTGAATAAGCATATAACCTGCCTTTTATTTCTGAATATGCATTCAAAATTATCTTTCTTTTTCATAGTGCTGCTTTTGGCTGAATATATATGAAAGTGGAGAGCTGTAGCCTTTAAATTAAAAAGAAATAAACAAACTGACAGACTTATACTATGCCAATAGACTCATTCAGCAGACCAGCAATCAGGAGGCACCAAGAAGATAACTTTCTTGGGTTGTACTAGAGCTTCCTAACAAGACCTCATAAGAGGCCAAGGAGGCTCCATTTCAGATGATCCTCTCTGCAAGGACCTTGATGTATGCTCTGAAACCATAAATTGTAACCAGACTGCAATTGCTCT